CACCATTTCCTTGTAGGTTGGCGAAAGCAAAGAAGGATGACAAAAATAAAGAGATGATGGAGATGCAATCAAGCAAGTGCCGAAGTATGCAAAATTTCTGAAGGATCTTTGTGCGAACTAGAAGAGACTACGTGGAGACGAATGCTTTATTGCTGGCGAGAGCGTATCTGCCATTTTATAATGTAAGCTTCCTCATAAATGTGGAGATCCAATTATGTTCTCGGTTCCTTGTAAGATAGGTAAGTTGGAGATTAAACGAGCAATGTTAGATTTAGGAGCTGCAATTAATGTGATGCCTAAGTCTTTTTACATATATTTGAATATTGGACATTTAAAGGAAACTGGAATTATTATTCAACTAGCCGATAGGACAAATGCTTACCCTAAAGGAATTATTGAAGATGTCCTAGTGCAAGTTAACGAATTAATTTTCCAGTTGATTTTTCTGAAGGATCTTTGTGCGAACAAGAAGAGACTACGTTGAGACGAATGCATTATTGCTGGCGAGAGCGTATCTGCCGTTTTACAACGTAAGCTTCTTCCTAAATGTGGAGATCCAGTTATGTTCTCGGTTCCTTGTAAGATAGGTAAGTTGGAGATTAAACGAACAATGTTAGATTTAGGAGCTGCAATTAATGTGATGCCTAAGTCTATTTACAAATATTTGAATATTGGACATTTAAAGGAAACTGGAATTATTATTCAACTAGCCGATAGGACAAATGCTTACCCTGAAGGAATTATCGAAGATGTCCTAGTGCAAGTTAACGAATTAATTTTTCCAGTTGATTTTTATGTGTTTGATATGCATGATGATAATTCTCCAAATACTGCACAAATTTTACTAGGTTTGACCATTTATGTGCACCGCACAAACTGAAATTGATGTGAAACAAGGTATACTTTATATGGAATTTGATGGTGAGAAAGTGCAATTTAACATTTCTGATTCTATAAAATACCTTGAAAAATCTAATGTGTTGTGCAGTGTGAATGTTATTGACAAAAGTATGCAGGGAATCTTGAGATTGCATGAGAAATCTATCATGGACATAAAATCGAAGCCGCATCCGAATCATTTGAAGTCTGTTCACTTAAATGATAATGTGAATCTTGCAAAGAAATTTTTTGTGAGTAATCATCGTTTTAAACATGGAAGTAAAAGACAAAAACTGAAGTGCGTAAGACGGTCTGAAGTAGTACTACCTAATGACTAACATGGTAACTGCGTCGAGCCAAAGACGTTAAAGAGAGGCGCTTCTTGGGAGGCAACCCAAGTTTTCTAGCTTTATTTTTTTTAATTTTCTTTTTTTTTTGGTTTTATTTTTAAACATCACCTATTTGATTTGGATTCTTTATTTTTTGTAGGAAACTTCTTGGAGAATTTTGAAAAAAAAAAAAAAAACCGTCGTCTTTCTTCTTCTTCCTCCCTGAGCTATCAATCTTGGTGTTGGCTAAAAGAGACGCACAATCAACTTGAAGAAGTTTGGAATCCAAAACAAAAACATGCAGTCGCACCAATCTTACGGACTCCAGGGAAGTTCCTCTCTTATTTTTTTTTTTTTTACATTGAGGACAATGTTTGCTTTAGGTTTGGGGAGAGAGTAATGCAAATTTTTTGGGCAAATTTTTCATTTTGTGCTACTTTTGATGTCTAATTTGTTGTCCTTTCGCATGTTTTTGAGATTTGTCTGAAGTGAGTCAAAAGGTGGTTTCAGTGATAGGTTAGTCTAACATGATTGATATCATTGGATTTGAAATATGTTGAGCCAGGTTGACATTTGAACCCTGTGAGAATTCGAGTATATATTCCAAAAAGCTTACATTAGAAAATAAACTACATATTATCAAGTTTTTGGAAATTCTTTCTTGTGTGATTTGTAGTGCTTAATTAGATGACCTAGAACTTGAGTGATTATGCATGTTGAACTTGCAACTATCGAGTCTTGCATTTTGAAAATGATAAAGGCATTAGGTAACCAATTGAGTCTTTTTTTATCACCCAACACAATATATTTCCCTTAGTTAGCCCATTTGAGACTTTTTAACCTATTTTTCTTCTATATTAAACCGTCTTTTAGCTGCATTCCCTTCTTTTGATATTAAGTCTTCTCCGATTCTAACCCTATGTTAAAAAGAATTAGTTTAAGTTCACGTTGTGATGCACCTTATTTGCTCGGCACTAGTTAGAAACGAAGTTTGAGTATAAATAAATAATGCATTCAGAAGTGTTTGTTTCAATAAGAACGGGTAGTGAAAGGCGTGTATATATATATATTTAAAAAAGAAAAAGAAAACAGAAAAAGGTCCAAAAAAAAAAGAATATTATCTTGATGAAGTATTATTGATATAATTATGTTATTGAAGTTTGGGTAGTGAATAAAGTAAGGGTTTCATTGTTTATGACAAACTGTTTTTCACGTGGTAGCATCGTGTTCTTATTGTGTTTTTTTCTGACATATTTTAGCCTTCTCATATCCTTTTTCTACCCCTAACCGTCAGCCCCGTGACAACCTTTATAAAAAAGTCTCTTTGATTCTTGATGTTAGATTTGAGTATCTTAAGCAAGAGAGATTTGATTTCGTTCAAACATATGAGATAATTTTTTTGTTGCACTACTTAAGCGGTAGCTGATTATACAGATTTATTTTTTTCAGAGAGCATGTGCGCATACACTTTATCCTGTGGGGTTGGTTTGGCTTGATATGTTGAATTTCCGATTGGTTTGGTTGAGTTAGATTTTCTTGTCATGTTGAGTCACCTGCGATTTCTTTTGGCTTGTTTCGAATTTATGCTTGAGGGCAAGCATGATCTAGGTGTTGGGAGATTTGATAGTCATAAATCGCATGCCTTAAATATTTATATTATTTGCGATATTTGGGTGATTTTGATTAGATTCTACCTAATTTTGGTATATATTATTTATTTATGATTTGCAGGAGAAAAATAATAAAATTGATAGAATTAGTGGGAAAAGAGAACAAAAATATCCAAAACCCAATTGTTACAAAATTAGGGAAAATATAAAGGAAATAAATAAGGGGGAGGCGCCACTTTATGCCACTTGCCAAGGAGAACACTATGCAGAACAGTTCAAGGGAGAAACCGTGCAAGGGCAAGAAGAAGAAAGATTCTTCCAAGAAGATTTCGAGTTCTACCCCTACCAACATCATTCTCAGGCGATGTTTCTCTTTGCTTCCTTTGTTCTTCCTCCTATGATTAGCGAGTAGTTTAATTTTCTAGTCTATGAGTGAAAAACAACTTGGTATGGATTTGAGAGATTTTTATTTATAATATTTCTTTGGTTCGTAAGTATTTCTGTGGTTTCTGATTTCTTTGAGTTATAATCTTTTATTTGATTGGGTATTGTGGCCAGGTATTCCAATTGGATTAAGGATCAATTGCTAAACTAAATTAGGCGTCCGTAATTGCATTTTAATTTGGTTCAAGTAGCAACTAGTGGCAAACACCATTAGGAAATCAATGAATCAATTTTAAACAATTTCGCATAGATAATTGTTAAATTGAATTAGGCTCTTCTAGTTCACAAGACGGTTAGACTGGTAAATTCATTGTGGCGTCACTAGGGTTCTAGTCTAACTAAAGAAACAGTTGACGGGCGTACCTAGACTGTCGAGAAATTAGGGAATAGTTGGTTATTAGGCGTATGTCGGTAACTATAACTAATTTATTTAGAAACCAATAAAATTAAATATTTGTCAATGATCAAATCCACTACCTAAGTTGTCAATTTTATTCATAGACTGAAAACTTATTTTTATTGAATTTATCTTTTAGTCGTAGAGTTTTTAGTTTGTTATTTTATTTTTATTTCCTACTTCCAAAATCCCCCCTTTTATTATATTTAAGAATTAAACATTTGAAAAATAAAACTTTTTTAATTCTTTGAGAAGACGACTCTATTTCATCTATATTACGTTATTTTTATTGCAAAAGTAGGTTTATTTTATTTAAATTTTGCAGCATGTGACGAACGTCTGTCAATACTCCATGCTTTCCTCAATTTTTCACTTTTTTTTTAGGAACCAACCCAACCACTCTTTCGACTACATTCCTGATCAGAAAGTATACGAGCTTCTCATTTGGACCAGTTCCATTTCAGGCTGTTGGATCCATTATTGGGCTTGTCATTGGGCTCTCACCCGGACTGGGTTGCTTCTCATCCGGATCGATTTTGTGGAGCTTGGGTCTGTTTCTGGTTCATCCATGGGTTTAAAATGTAGGATAACAGATAGTTAACGTATTTAATTTTTTTTTAATTAATTCACATTTAGTTATTTTTTTTCAAAAATTTCTAAAGTACACAACCATTGAATTTATATGAATTATGATTGAACGGGCACAATGGAATCATGATGATTTTTAATTTTATATAAGGTCATACCAAGACTAAAAAAAAAAAAAAAAAATTACACAAACATTAAATGAAGGTTCCAACCAACAATGAATGAAGTTATAATTAATATTTAAAGATTAATAAAGAAGTTACATAAAGATTAACAAATGCACATGAATAGAACCCTAAGATATATAAAATGAAAGAAGATTTGAAAGAAGAAATAAGACAATAAAAGAAAATAAGAGAGGAGAGCCACTACTATCACCAACCAACCAACCACCACCTATGTCTCGTCTTGCATTACACCAACCACGGCTTGCCTGCCCCCTAAGCCACTCACCCTGCACGTGACATTCAAACTGTTTTAAAACTAATTTTTTTATTAATTTTCATTTATGAAACCAATACAACATAATAATAATAATAATAATAATAATAGTTGTAGTAAAAAATCATTGTCAAGTTTTGTTACACTCTTTCTATCTGTCGGCAGAGACATTCTGCGAGATCTGAGATTTCGATCGTGCGGTCAGGATTGAAAACAGGCAAATGCGCGCGTGCCGTGACGTGCCATCACCATTTTGAGCGTTGAAGGAAAATGGTAAAATTTGGCTTATGGAGGGAGGACGCTTTACAATAACTGCCACATACATACCCATGGACATCTACCTCCTCTCTACTCACTTCTTCTATAAATACAGCTTTTCTGCTCTCGCTTCTTGCCTTCCCCCTTCCCTTCTATACCTGTTGCTCTTTCTCTATACAACTGCCTTGTGCGCTTCGCATTCGCTTGCCTTGCCTAAAGGTATGGACGTGTGGCTCTTCTGTGTTTTTTTTTTTTTTTTTTTCGTTTTTTTGGTATATTCAATTAGATCTGTGGGGGGTTTGCTTGGGTGATTAACTGGTGTTGTCTAATTAATGCATTAATTGGAATCGAGTGATCTCTGCGTTAAATGGCATTGGAATTGTGAGGATACGTATGTATTGTGTAGCGTTTTGCTGTGTGGATCTGACTTTGAACTGGGAATCGAGTTCGTTTAATTTGGTTGAATCTGTCTGTCTGCATTGTGCCGCATCATTGTGTTTCGATCGTGTAAAGTAATGTTCCTCCATTATTTGGATTCCTTTATTTCTGGACTTTGTGGATCTGAGGATCTCATCACTCTAGGCCAAGATCATTGCATGCGATCGTAGAGTCTGAAAGATCTTTCTCTATTAGGTTAGGTGATCTAGGATCTCAATGTTGGTTATTATTTGAAATCATGTCTGACTTGATTACTTTTTGCACCGATCTGGAAAGGCCGCATCTGATATATGATGATATTGACCGGCGTGGTAGCTGATCTTTGATTCTGTAATAAAGTAGCTAAAATCATTAGAAAGTAACTAGAAACTACGTGCACAACCAAATATGTAATGACTTTTCTACCTGTTTTTCTCTTTTCTTGCTATTTGCATATAATATATTGCTATCCTTTTTATATTTTTTATTTGGTATTATGCGCCTAATTAATTGAACATAATATACCAGAAAAATGGCATCTCACATTGTTGGGTACCCTCGTATGGGTCCAAAAAGAGAGCTGAAGTTTGCTCTGGAATCATTCTGGGATGGCAAGAGCAGTGCTGAGGATTTGGAAAAGGTGGCAACAGACCTCAGGGCATCAATCTGGAAACAGATGTCTGGTGCTGGAATCAAATACATTCCCAGCAACACATTCTCTTACTATGATCAGGTGCTTGATACAACTGCTATGCTTGGGGCTGTTCCCCCTAGATACAATTGGACTGGTGGGGAGATTGGTTTTTCCACTTACTTCTCCATGGCTAGAGGTAATGCCTCTGTTCCTGCTATGGAAATGACCAAGTGGTTTGACACCAACTAGTAAGTAATGGATTAAGTTTCCTAGAAGTTTTAATATTTATATTGATGCTATAAGTAGGATTTAATTGAATCTTTGGTTTTTTATTCATGCAGCCATTTCATTGTGCCTGAATTGGGACCTGATACCAAATTTTCATATGCTTCACACAAGGCCGTGAACGAATACAAAGAGGCCAAGGCTGTAAGTGCTTTGTGAAAGTTTTTGCGTAATGCTTTTGTATGATTGAAGTGTAATTGCAGTTTTGATTAATATATTTATTCTACCTGATGAAACTCATATATCATTTTTGTGCAGCTTGGTGTTGACACTGTCCCGGTGCTTGTTGGCCCTGTTACTTACTTGTTGCTCTCCAAGCCTGCCAAGGGCGTTGAGAAAACCTTTTCTCTTCTCTCTCTTCTTGACAAGATTCTACCCATTTACAAGTATGACATGCTTTTGTGATTGCATCACTCCTCATCAGTTCAATTATGAGCCAAATATGACATAATGTACCAACATGTTGGCAGGGAAGTTATTTCCGAACTAAAGGCTGCTGGTGCTTCATGGATCCAATTTGATGAGCCCACTCTAGTTTTGGACCTTGAGTCTCACCAGTTGGAAGCATTCACCAAGGCCTATAGTGATCTGGAATCATCTTTATCCGGTCTCAAAGCCATGGTTGTGACCTATTTTGCTGATGTCCCTGCACCTGCATTCAAAACTCTTACCTCATTGAAAGGAGTTGCCGGCTATGGGTTTGATCTGGTTCGTGGAACTAAAACTCATGATTTGATTAAGAGCGACTTCCCTTCAGGAAAATTCCTTTTTGCTGGAGTAGTTGATGGAAGGAACATTTGGGCCAATGATCTTGTTGCTTCTCTTGATACACTCAAGTCTCTTGAAAGCATAGTGGGCAAGGGTATGTTATATCCCCACTTGTATGGTTTTAATTTTCTTTCAACGAGGCTTATCTTTCACATGTGTTTTTTGGCAGACAAGCTTGTTGTGTCTACTTCCTGCTCTCTTCTCCACACTGCTGTTGATCTTGTTAATGAGACTAAGCTGGATCAAGAAATCAAATCCTGGCTTGCATTTGCTGCACAGAAGATTGTTGAAGTAAATGCTCTAGCAAAGGCTTTGGCTGGAAGCAAGGATGAGGTATAGTTGGCTACACATGTCATTAAACCTGAGGAAAAAAAAAAAAGCCTTCATCTTCCAACAAAATTACAACTGATTATCATATTTTCTGTCAACCTAATTATATTTTGATATTAGCTGCTGCAGTATATAATTATATACTGATAATTTTAGCTTGGGTTCAGGCGTTCTTCTCTGCTAATGCCTCTGCTCAGGCTTCTCGAAAATCCTCACCAAGGGTGACAAATGAAGCTGTCCAGAAGGCTGTAAGTGACTAATCCACCTGTTTTGTCATTTGTACTGAACTAACTGTCTAGGACTTTTACTAATGTATCCCTCTAATGCTCAATCAGGCTGAAGCTTTGAAGGGCTCTGATCATCGCCGTGCCACAAACGTTACAGCTCGACTTGATGCCCAACAGAAGAAGCTTAATCTCCCAGTCCTCCCAACTACCACAATCGGTTCCTTTCCGCAGACCATAGAACTTAGGAGAGTCCGCCGTGAATACAAGGCCAAAAAGTGAGTGTCAACGTGATTAATCATTATTCATGTTTTTTAAGCATGCCCCTCAAGTTTTGATGGTCTATACTTGTTGTTTTCAGGATATCCGAGGAGGAATATGTCAAATCTATCAAAGAGGAGATCAACAAAGTCATCAAGCTCCAAGAAGAGCTTGATATTGATGTTCTTGTTCACGGAGAGCCAGAGGTATGCCAATTGGTTTCTTAGTCCGTAAGTATATATATAAATCCTTTATCGTGTCTCTCCTTGTAACACCTTTTTCTGTGTCTAAATTCCAGAGAAACGATATGGTTGAGTATTTTGGAGAGCAATTATCTGGTTTTGCTTTCACTGCCAATGGATGGGTGCAGTCTTACGGGTCCCGATGTGTGAAGCCTCCGATTATCTTTGGTGACGTAAGCCGTCCACAGCCAATGACCGTCTTCTGGTCCAGCACTGCACAGAGCATGACCAAGCGCCCCATGAAAGGAATGCTTACGGGTCCTGTAACAATTCTCAACTGGTCTTTCGTAAGAAACGATCAACCAAGGTGCGCATACATACTCTACATATAGAGATAGGCTGAAGAAGAAAACTACACCGCCCCATTCATTGATTGATTTGCATTTCTTGGTTAACAGGTACCAAACATGCTATCAGATTGCTCTGGCAATTAGGGACGAGGTCGAGGATCTTGAGAAGGCTGGCATTACTGTGATCCAAATAGATGAGGCTGCATTGAGAGAAGGGTTGCCTCTAAGGAAGTCTGAGCATGCTTTCTACCTCGACTGGGCCGTCCACAGCTTCAGAATAACCAACTGCAGCATCCAGGACACAACTCAGGTCCCTTTCGATTTGTTTAAATGGAGTATAAGCTAATTGTTCAATAACTAACTAACTAACCTGGCAGATCCACACCCACATGTGCTACTCCAACTTCAACGACATCATCCAATCAATCATAGACATGGATGCTGATGTGATCACCATTGAGAACTCCCGTTCTGATGAGAAGCTCCTGTCAGTGTTCCGTGAGGGAGTTAAGTATGGCGCCGGAATCGGGCCGGGCGTGTATGACATTCACTCCCCAAGAATACCGTCAACAGAGGAGATTGCTGACAGGATCAACAAGATGCTTGCTGTTCTTGAGACCAACATTTTGTGGGTCAATCCCGACTGCGGCCTCAAGACTCGCAAGTACGGGGAAGTGAAGCCGGCACTTCAGAACATGGTGGCTGCCGCCAAGCAGCTCCGCACGCAGCTTGCCAGTGCCAAATGAGTCCTCCATATTTGAAGATTGTTATTACTATTATTATTATTGTTGTGTTGTTTTTGGTGATCATTTTTCAATAACTTGCTGTTGGTACAAACACTGACTAACAGACAGGTAAACAGGTGGTGTTCCTACAAGTTCTTGGTTTCTTTGCGCCTTGAATTTTAATTATTCATTAGCAATATATAATACTGCGATTATGTGGTTTGTTTGCTTGTAGTTTCTGATAGAGCGAGCGAGTATTCGAAGGTTATGTGTATTGTGCTGTTTGCACTTGAGACTTGCCAAATGTGATGCGGTATCGAGAGCTTTTTTGTTTTTTTGACAAATTTTGATGAATTCATTTATTTAATTAATAAAGCAATTCACGACAGTCATGAAGTCTGTGACTCATCATACTCAAAAAAAAAAAAAAATTGTGGCTTTGATTTCTTATGATATATTTAAAGATAATACAATTTATATAGCTCAATTTAAAAAAAAAGGATATATTAAAAGCGATCGGAAAAAACATATATCTTCGTCTGAAAATTTTGTAGATTTATTTACGAAGGGGCTGTGGACTACAACATTCAACAAACTGATACAAAGAATCGGAATGCGTCGAATGAAAAACATCAAATAAAGTCCAAAATAAGGGAAGCGTATTAATACAAAAATGTTGTACTTTTTTCCTTCACTAGGACTTTTTCCCACAGGGTTTTTTTCCTAAACGAGGTACATTCCTTTGTATAAAACATCTAAAAGGGAGTGTAATACACATATATATGCATTAAAAATTAAATGTCTAAATTAAATTAAATAATATCATGTATTTTGAAAGAAAATAAATATATAGTATTTAATTATGCATATATGTTAATTTTTGTACAATAAATATCAACCATTAATGCAAAAAATTGCTTAAAATAGAAAATATCGTACAAATATTACGTGCATAAATAGAATCATAATAAATTTGGCAGAAAAAAAAATAATAATCTTGTCAATAAAGAAAGTATATAAATTAATATCTTCCGAAAAGGGCAATGATATAAAGATCTTTGCGAGAAAGGAAGGTGTACAATCAAATCCGTCAAGAATGGAAAACAACGTCCGATGGAAAATGAAAAATTATAAAATCTTTATATTGATCAATCAGGACGCACCACGTGCCATCATTCAAAAAGGAAGCCGAGGTCACCATTCCTCTATAAATAGGAGCCATGGCCACTTCATTTAACATCGAAGTTACATCGATGATTCAAGCAAAGAGGTAAGTCTCTAAACTCTCTCTATATTGTTCTTCATGTTCTTCGTGTCATTCGAGGTGTTCTTCGTCGAAAGTCAGTAATTTGGACAAATGATTCAATATTGGTTGACGAATCGATGAAATTAACGCTATTCGTCATATGCCCAAGCTGGAGGGAGGATCATATCACCGAAAGCTGTTGAAGGATCCGTCAAAGTCAAGGAAGAGCCTTCAAAGTTCATCCCAAAGCTTCAAGACGTTTATCGTGTTCTTTATCAAAAGCATCAACCTAGCCCTCTACGATCCAAAAGTCAAAGGGACATGCCGCCAAAAGTGTTATGGAATACCAAATCCACCTCTTCAAAGATCAAAGCCTCGAATCGTCTAAAGAAGACATCAAATTCCAAACCGATGATCAAACCGCCCACACGGAGACCAAAGTCCTCCAAAAGCGGCAAAGCCAAACCGAAGATCAAAGTTGGGATCGTCCAAAGAAGACATTAAATCCAAAGCTGACGATCAAATCGCCCACACGGAGACCAACGCCCTCCAAAAGCCGGCAAAGCCAAACCGAAGATCAAAGTCGCGGATTGTCCAAAGAAAACATCAAATCCAAAGTCGATGATCAAATCGTTCACACGGAGACCAAAGACCTTCAAGATTCGGCAAAGCCAAACCAAAGATCAAAGTCTCGGATTGTCCAAAGAAGACATGTCCAAAGGTGACGATCAAGTCGCCTACACGAAGACCAAAGCCCTCCAAAAGCCGGCAAAGCCAAACCAAATATCAAAGTCTTTGATCGTCTAAAAAAGACATCAAATCCAAAGCCTACGGTCAAATCGCTCACATTGAGACCAAATCTCTCCAAAAAGCGGCAAAGTCAAACAAAATATCAAAGTCGCAGATCGTCCAAATAAGACATCAAATCCAAAGCCGATGATAAAATCGTCCACACAGAGACCAAAGCTCTCCAAAAGGCGGCAAAGACAAACCAAATATCAAAGTCTCGGATTGTCTAAAGAAGCATCAAATTCAAAACTGATGATCAAATCGCCCACACTGAAACCAAAGTCTTCCAAAAGTGGGCAAAAACAAAGCAAAAATCAAAGCCTCGGATCGTCTAAATAAAACATCAAATCCAAAGCCGATGATCAAATCGCCCATACAGAAACCAAAGCTCTCCAAAAAGCGGCAAAGTCAAACCAAAGATCAAAGCATCGGATCGTCCAAAGAAGACATCAAATTCAAAGCCGACGATCAAATCGCCCGCATGGAGACCAAAGCCCTAAACCTCCAAAGTCCAGAAAAGTCAAACTGAAAACCAAATCTCTTCGGATCAAATAAGCCATCGAAAACCAAGTTGGAAACAAATCAACCCGAAAGGAGAATCAAATGACCAATTTAGAGAATATAACCGGCTTTAAATCTAAATTAAATATAATTTATATAAATTTTTATTTTTATTAAAAATAATACGATTTTTTGTCCACAACATATTATACACATCGCATCCACGTATGCGTATTTTAGTATATGGATGCATTTTATACAACACACTGCTACGTATATTGTAATTATTACTCATTCTACTATATATATATATATGTGTGTCATAACACAATGAAAGAAGGTACACAGAATTTCACCGTCAAAGCATTTATTATCTTGGTTGTGCTATTTCTCACTCTCCCTCTGTAACTATATATATATATATACACCTTCATACAAATATGTATATAAATATAAACACACCCGTACACACACATAAATACATATATATATATATATATTACATTTAGCATTATATTATTATTCCCTCCGTCCCAATACAATAGTCTTGTTTATCATTTTTGTTCGTCTCAAAATAATAGTCTCATTTTTATAAATAATCATATCACCATAAAACTATTTTTACTTTTTCATTATTATTACACAATTGTCACTACTTTTTACACTAATATACTCATAAAAACAAAAAAGTTATTTATCCATATTTTTTTATCAACTACCAGTATAATATCAATATTCTTTGGTAACAGTCAGCTATTAACGTGGAGAAACTGATCTTAAATTTCTTTTAAATCCAATTCCTCCTTATACTATCAATACCAACTAAAATTCATTAACATATAATACAAATTATAATTTTATTGAAAATAAAGTCAAATTAAATAGGAATATAAAAGTATTTAGTAATATCAATATATTGAGCATCACTTTTATGCATTATGCTTGAATAGATTATGCTAATTTAATAAAATTAAAATATTAAGGTGTGAACGAGTAACGAGTATTTTAAAAAAAATTTCTATCATCCAAATTTATATATTTTTTATTATCATAAAAATATTTATATCTTTTTTAAAGTAAAAAGTATTCAATTTTTGTATATTTTTTACTTAAAAAAAAAAAACAATTATTTTTATTTATTTTTGTAAAAATTCCTTACTAACTATATGAATATAATTTTCGATTAAGGGAAGGAAGGAGTAATAATTAAAAAAACCAATCAAATTGAATTTCAACCATGGTTGTTCTTTTCTATGCAGAATCATTTTGTGGGGATTCGAACCGGTTGGTATTAAAAGTGCTTTCTCTTGTAGCATGTCTGTTGTTTTTATCTATTTATTTATTTATTTATTACCCCCTCCGTGCTATGTAATATGAATATATTACGGTGGATACAAGAATTTAGGTAAATTATAATTAGTAAATAATTAAGAACTATATTAGTAAAAATAATTATTATTTGGTAAAAATAATTATAGATTAAAATTAAAATAAATAAATAGTTTAATTAAAATTAAGAAAATTATAAAATTTAAAATTTAAAATGTGACTAAAATGTATAATTATATTTTCAAAAATAAAAATGAAAAATTACGGGACATATGAAAATAGAAAATAAGGACAACCGTGGAACGGAGGGAGTATTATTTGTTTGTTTTAAAAATATTATGGGTATGTTTTGTGTTTTTTATATAAAATATTTTTAATATTAAATAAAAACAGTGTAATATATTTTCATTCGAATTATCGATTTTTAAATTTATATAAATGTGATTTATAATATTGATCAGAAAATTTATTTGAAGACATGTAGATTTGAATTTGTTTTACACAATATAATTTTACTCATTTAATACTATTTATTTTTTAAAAAATATCATCTCAAATCACATAATAATTTTTTTATTTTTTTCAAACTTTTAAATTTCTAAAAATTTCCAAAAACTTCTATCTAAACAAACCCTTTAATTTAAATTTAAAATTTAATTTATATATTATTTCATATTAAAAACAGTAGACAGTAACGATTTGAATTTAATAAATAAAAATAAAATAAACAAACTATTTTGCTATGTAAGCAAAGCAAAGTGTAGGGAAATGAAAATAAATAAATACTGAGAGGGAGGGGCAAGACCGACATTTCACATGGAGACGGGTGTGAGAGAAAATGTATCTCTTCTGTTATCGTCTCCCGGTGGACGTGGAAAACAACAATGATTAATAATCAGTAAACCAAATCAAATCAACCATTCCTTTTTATACCGTTGCTGTAGCTGTTTGTTGCTGTTCTTTGCTGCTGTTGCTGTTGCTGTTGCTTTGCTCTACACAATAAAGTTACCATATATATTAAAGAAGAAGGCTCTGGATTTCAGCTTCAACATTATCCTGCGCAGCCCCTTCTCCCTCCCACAGGGCTTCTCTCCTTCTGTCTTCGTTGATTTTGCAACGATCGGCGGCGCTGTGTTGATCCGCATATTTATAGAGCAATCGTAGCTTAATCTCCGGTGTACGGTGTGGAGAAAGGTCTGCCGACAATGCAGGTGCGCTTCATTTTTTGTCGCCACTTTTTGTTCTCGGTTTATCGTGGCTTATATGCTTTTGCCTTCGGTGACTTTTCTTTTTTTTAGCAGCCGAGAACGGTAGAGGTGAAGCGGATATCAGATCTCGCGACGGAGAGGGAAATCCATGAGTTCTTTTCTTTCTCCGGTGAAATTGAACACATTGAGATCCGCAGGTGACCTTGCTGTTTTCCCTTTCTGTCTCTCCCTCTTTCTATATATTTTTTATAAATTAATTATTACTGGATTAAGGTGCCTTCTTATTTTATTTGATTTGAATTACTATCGGTGAATTTTGAAGTTCTGTTTTGATATATATTTCTTGATTGTTGCAGAGAGCCAGGACACCCCAAGACGGCGTTTGTGACCTTTAAAGATCCCAAGGCGTTGGAAATCGCCTTGTTGCTATCTGTAATTTCTTAACTATTATCTTCGATACTACTCTAGTTCTTCTGCTATTTTCACTGAATCCGTTGCGTAAATCCTACTTTCTTGATGTTTACTGAACTTTCTAGCTTGTTCATAACTATTTAGCGAACTTCTTTGCAAGTCTTTCTATTTTTTAGCTAAATTAAATATGAGAGAATGAGCTGATCTGGGAACTGCTGGGTCGAGCTGGATAGCAGCTGTGTTTAGTTATTGAAACCTTTTTTTTAAAAATCGTAAAGTTGCTTATATATTATTAATTAAATAACTGAGAAACGCTGACCATAAAATGCTTGGTTGAGCTCGGTAGCAGCTGGTTTTCACCAAAGAAATTTGAATTACCTAACAGGTCTTAAATTTAAGATCTGGACTGTTGAGGCTTTTATTATGCAGTGGTCGAATATGAAATATAAAACTCTGAACAGATTGATTTATTCAATTTAGCAGATGCATAGTGCCAAGATAATTACAATCAAATCATTGCCGAGGGTTGAGTTTAACTTAATTAAAGGGGAGGTTCTGAGTAAAATTGCATTGCAAAACATGGGCTTTCGGTATCTTTTGAATGCATTTGTCTTTCATATATTTGCATCACTCTATCTAGAAAACCTTGTTATCGATCATATTTGGGAAACTTTCTCCTCATTCACCATGTGGAGTGGGGTTTGGCAGCTTGGAGAATTGTATGTTATACACTGGCAGCTGAGATATCTTCACGCTTTGATTTTTATGCACATCCTTAAGTTTACCTTTTCTGTATTCTTATTTGAAAGATGATTTCTGCTTATAAAGGTAAGCTGTAAATGTACCAATAAGTTTTATTTGCATTTCATTTTATATTCTAAATTTGTGATGGGGATATGCTTAAGAACACAGGCTATATTATTTTGAGGTTTAAAAGTCATACCGTTAATGCATGATAGAACTTATAAATTGTCCGGTGCTTCATCTGCCTTGTTTTTCCTACCTGTGTTCGTACTGAAACTGAATATTGTGGACAGTTTATCTTGGTAAACACTAGCGTGACTTCAACTGAGTGAATGCATTATAATACCTTTCTGGAAAGTAGTAATAACAGCTATAATAAAAAATTCTGGGACACGATAAATTTGATATGCCACAAGGTGTCATTTGGAGGCTCGTGTTGAGATCAATTTATGTTGAATTTTATAATTCATAATCTGTTCTTTAAAAAAACATTTCTGCTGATTTTGTGCCTTGCAGGGTGCAACCATAGTGGACCAGGTTGTTATCATAACTCCTGCTAAGAACTATGTACCACAGCTTGAGATTAAGGTATTGGACTGTACATGCTTTCATTAATGATTCTTTTGTAATATATAATTCACAAGAATATCTGTTCCTGATGTCTCCAGGAAGTAAGGATTGTTGACAATGCTATAAGCACATCTCAGGAGAATAGTTCCCCAGTTTCTGAGGTAATGGAATCACCTAAAATGACTTGTTTTGAATTCAATACAATCTGATCAAAATTTGAAAGCTCCAATCAGGTGCTAAATTTTAGCTTGTTTTGCTTGGATTTACTGATCTTTGTATATATTCTTGGTAACAGGGAGAGAGGAGTCCAAATAATGGGAAAGTATATGTCAATAAAGCTCAAGATGTTGTGTCAAGCATGCTTGCAAAAGGTTCGGCTATTGGACAAGATGCGGTGAATAAGGCCAAAGCATTTGATGAAAAGCATAGGCTGACTGCCAATGCATCAGCAAGAGTGAGTTCCTTTGATCGGAGAGTTGGATTGACCGAAAAACTTACAGTCGGAATCTCAGTAGTAAATGAGAAAGTGAAATCAGTGGATCAAAAATTTCAAGTCTCTGATAAAACTATGACGGCTCTTATGGCAGCAGAGAGGAAAATAAACAACACTGGATCAGCTGTAAAATCAAGCAGGTTTGGAATTCAAACACGAGAAAAAAAAAAAAAAACCTGCCATTAGTGGATCAAAGTTGTGTTTTATTGATATGATGCTAGAAATAGTCTAAATGCTGATGGATCTATATATATATATATATATATCAGGTATGTGACAGCTGGAACAGCTTGGCTGAACGGTGCTTTCAACAAAGTGGCGAAAGCGGGGCAGGTTGCTGGTACAAAAACTAGAGAGAAATGGAATATGGCCCTGTCCAATTTGACGGCAAAGGTGCATTCCTAATGGCTTTTACAACGCTCTATAACTTTGTAGTCCAACTTTATTTCAGTGTGTGCATCTTCTCCAATTCACATATAACTATCCGCTAAATATATATAGTACTCCCTCAGTCCTGTAAATTTATATCAATTTGGACGGGTACGGGTCTTAAGAAAAGTAGGTAAAAATTTAAATTCTTTCTTTTAAAATAAAGTAGGAAAAATGGTATTCTTTGTTAGAAAGATAAACGAAAATAAATTTGGATGACAAAAAAAAAAAAAAAATGAGAATAAATGTGGATGACAAAGGAAGTAGTATATGATTAGCTCTTCTTGCCGGCCAATCTAGTTTAGTTATCTCATTTCTTATAGATTGCACTTCAATATTTTTCATGCTATGCTCATTAGCTACCTCATTTCTCTCCTCTGATTGTTCTTGTAGTTGCTTTAAATTCTTGCCTATCATTTCATTTCACAAATAACTGGTGTATGTGCAGGACCCTCCTATTGCAGCCTGAGTGGCGAGCTTTCTGCAGTTTGGGTAGCCATCCTTGTGGGAAGGAGCAGTTCCAATTCGCGAGTCAAATGTATGTATTTGATTTCATTCTATATTGTTTGGCATCTCATTTGATTTTATTTGATTTGATTGTGTTTGTCCTATCTCATCTCATTCATGCTGCTGCATTAATTAATTGATTAATAATTAATTAATTAATTCTGCACATGAATGATCACATGTTGATAATGAAGTGGCAAATCCTATCCTATCCTGTCTGGAGTAATCAATCTTCTTCTACTTGTAATATGCAGTTTTTGTTTCCCCCAATTTTGTCGCACTACCATTCCCATATGATTGATTGATTCTGTCAAATTCCATTTCATTAGTTATTGCTATCTCTGTATTGGGTTTTTATATATATATATATATATATATTAGTAATTATTCCACGTACCATGTCCAATGTTGCCGTCTCTGTCCGTCACTTTCTTTTTTGAAAAATGATTACACACTTTAATTTTATTTTAAACTTTAAAAATTTTAATTAAACTAATTAGTTATTTTAATCTTAATTTATAATTATTTATATTATAAGATAATTATTTTTACTAATATATTTTTAATTATCTACTACTATTATATTATATTCATTTGTCCTTGAGTGAGTTGTAGTATTTGATTGATCTCTCATTTGAAAGTTTGCTGTTGATTTTTCTTTGACAAGTCATGATCAAATTTGCATCGAAATGTGGAAGGTTTCTGCAGAGCAGGAAAGAATCTTGGCTGTTGATTAAAAAATACTACCTATGACTAACCAATTTTATGTACGAGTGTCTGACCAAATTTGGCTAATGCCGACGTTACAAATGAGTCCCAGTCTACAAATATCTGGTTGCCTTTGTTGAAAAATTTATTAGCAAAATATGAGATAATGGCGAAATTCCGATAAACATAAATAAGATCATTTTTAAATCGAATATAGAATACAAAATCAAATCCAAGTCTTGTGTGCCACGTGATTTCTTTTAAGTGAATTCGGCCTCTATCGATCATCTCTCATAATAGACGAATAACTTACGGGATAACGGATTTTGTGAACAGAATTATGAAGTTTTTGGAAAGAGAGATTTTAGAGGAAAAAATAAATAAATAATTTTTTGGGAGAGATTTTTTTATGTATTTTTTAAGGTGTGCATCGGACATTTTCAGCAGTGGCAACAAACACAGTGGACAAGAGGACGATGATTTTGATGCATCCTTTAGCCTTTCGGATTCTTTCTTTAGTTTTGGAGTTGAGAAGGTAGGAGATGAGTCGATCACTGGAGATAGGCGAGTCGGATTACGAGCGCGATCTGTCGATTTGAGAGTTGAATGGTGTGATTGTTGATTTGATTAAATGCAACGGCAGACTCGCAGCCGGCAAGCACAAATTCATTGATGTTGTTCAGACGGGATATTACGCAAGATTCACGGTCACATCACGGCTACCCAGAACCTACCTGATGACGAAGGAATGATCGATGTTGTCCACGATGGAGGCGATAGAAATACGAATCTAATATTCAAATTGGCACAAATGGGGAGGGGAATGGGGAGGTTAATTCTAGCAAGTCTCACACTTTTGTTCTCTTTGTTCCACGACTTTAGCCACTAAGCCCAAATGGTAAGACTAAGAGGCTTGTTGCCGAAAAGGCTGCATAGGCAGCGTACCAACAGGCCTTCAAGGCTGCGATAGAGAGAGTCTGCAACCTACAACCAGCATATTGCAAAAAAAAAAAAAAAAAAAAAAGATCATGTTGATACCCGTGTGAGACAACCTGTTGCTATTTTGCCTCACCACAGCATATGGATGCAGGACTTGCACAGGGTTTTGTTGCGTCTGTCGGATGACAGACAACAACTAGACGACTTGAAGGGTATACAACCTATTGTTGTTGCGAACTATGTAATGCAGCTTGTTGCTGCAACCTTCAAGCAACCTGTTGCTACGGCAGTTGAAAAGCCAGAGAAATTCAACGGGCAGGATTTTAAAACATGACAGCAAAAGATGTTTTATCTAACCACGTTGAATCTGACAGATTGGCTGATGGAGGCTGCACCTGTTGTGTCTGAAGGATCTTCGGAAGAACATAAAGCACTAATTCTGAAAGCCTGTAAATGCTCAAATTTTATGTGCAAAAATTATGTACTGAACGGTTTGAGCGACTCCCTGTACTGTGTGTACCGCCATGCACTAACGACTAAGGAGCTGTGGAAGATGTTGGAAAAGAAGTACATAACTGAGGATGCTGGTGCCAAGAAAGCCATAGTAGGTCGGTTTTTGGATTTCAAAATGGTGGACGGAAAAAGCGTTATGAAGTAGTTTGATGCGTTTCAGGTGATTCTGCATGAAATCCAGACCGAAGGGATGGAGTTGGGTGAAGCCTTCCAAGTGGCGACAATAATTGAAAAATTGTCGCCTAGTTAGGGAGATTTCAAGATTTACTTAAAACACAAACGAAAGGAAATGAAATGGCGAGACTAATCAATCGTCTCCAAACTGAAGATGAGCATAGATCGAACCTGGAAAGCATAGGACATCTGATGTCTGGTAGCAAGGCTAATATAATTGACACAATTCCGTAAAACAACTTATCACAACTGAGGTTATTACGATAGATCGTGTTGCGTCAAAGGATAACCTAGCGGATCTACTAACTAAATAGTTAAATTGTGATGCAGTTTAAAAGATTGACTAGAGGAATGGAGTTTAAGCTTGCTGAGGAAAAAGTTTTATAAAGGAAAACTCAACCTAGATTGGAAATCCTAAAAATTAGGTTCAATGGGACAACCTACTTATAAGATTATGTGTCACTGAGGGGGCTAATAACCTCTACTCATTCCTGTCAACGAACAGTGACAGAGTAGAGAGAATAGCAAATATCACTCGGAAATTTAGAAAAATTACCTATGTGAGATAAAAGTAAGGTTGCTTCAAAGGAGAACTGTTTAGGCTCATATGTTTAGAAACTTTCGCTGAACTAGGACTGGTTTCATAGCCAAAACGGACCAAACAATGAGAACCGAACTAGGCACATGAATTCTGGGTCGCTATATAGCCCACTTACTAGAAAAATTGAACGTATTGCTCAAACGAAAGTTCAAACAAAAAGTATTTATCCTATGCAGGATTCATTTTTATTTTGTCGAATCATCATTTTTCTCTTTCATGTGGGGGATTGTTGGGTATTTAATTAAAAAAGGTGAAAAAGGGATAAATTATTGTCCCACATTTTATCTATTAATTTATTTTAACTTGAAAAAAATTAAATAATCAAATAAAATAATTTGTTGCAATTGAATGCAACGTACAAAAGTGGGCAAATTTTACCTGTTCACGTGATTAAATACAAAATAATCTGAAAAAAATATAATACTCTCTCTGTTCCTTAACAATTTATCTATTTTCTCATTTTGGTATGTCTTATAACAAAGTATTCATTTCAGTTTTTAGTAATTGTACTATCTACCTAACATTACAAATACATTTTCAATTTACAATATATTACCCAAATGTTATTACATTTATATCATACAATACTAATAAGGTTAGTTTAGTCTTTTTACCTTTATTTCTACTACATCTCAATATAATACTAATATTTTTAAAACTTCATACAAAAAGCAAATTGATAGATAGATATGAGACGGAGGGAGTATATATTATATTTTTCCTCCATCTTTAAAAAAAAAAAAAAAACAATAAACAAAAATCTCTCTTCCAAAAATTCTCTCTTTTTTTTTTTTTTTTTTGTAAAATCTCTTTTTGCAAAAGCTTTTTAATTCGGTTTGGAAAATCCTTTATTTCGTGAGTTATTCGTTCTATCTTGGGAGGCGATCGGTGGAGGGCTAAATTCGCTTCAAGAAAATCGCTCGAATTTGATTTCACATTCTATATTCGATTTCAAAATTATTTTACTTGTGTTTATCGAATTTCTCATATATAAGATTTCGTTAATAAGTTTTCCAACCGCCTTTACATATATTTGGAATTGCATCAAAGTTTTGGGTTGGCATGAGATTGGCTGGTGTGTTTGTTTGGGAGTTTAGATTTTGGGATTGAAATTTGAATAATAAAATTTTAAATTAGAATAATCTTATAATGTGATATAAATTATAATGTGATATAAATAGATAATGAAACTATGTTTTGAATATAAAATTAGTTTATAATATATTATAAAAAATAAAAAATAAGTGTTTGATTTGATATTTTATGAATTTTTTTATAAATAATAAAATTCTAGCAAAATCCTCGAAAAAAAATATACTGTTGTGTTTATCTAAGGTGTGTTTGGTTGGGGGTTTTTATCCCGAATTTTACTATTAATTAATTTAGGCAAAATTACATAAAATTCCACTGTATTTTTTCGAATTTGTTGAAAATTTTTCGTGGTTCTAAAACTCTAAAAAACCTCTTTGTGGTTTCCAAAATGTTGCAAAAAATCCTCCCTCCATTAGGATTTAACGATGGTTGTATGTCACGCGCCTGATATACGATTTTTTGTCTATATTTCTGTATAACATTACTAAAATACCCTAATGACTATTTTTTACAGCAACTTATTCTTCCTTATTTTTCTTCTTCCTTGTTCTTCTCCCTAAGTTTAAAATTTAATATCAATTTTTTTTTCATTTTAAATCAGCTAAATACAACCAAATTTAAAATTGATCCCAAATTTATTGCTCACTATCGTTTTACCAAATTTAGAAATCTAAGAAATCAATTTGACATCCAAATTTGAAATCAATCTAACAAGAATATAAAGAATTTGGTGTTGCTGATTGCATAAGAAGAATTGAGAAAGAAAGAAAAATTGAGAAGAAAGAATAAAGAAAAAAGAAAATTAGAGAAAAAGACCGTGAAAAAGAAAGAGAATGAAAGGGAAAAAAAAAATGTCCAACCAGCTTCTTCTTCTTATTGTTTATTTTCTTCTTCTCCTTCTTTTCTTTCTCATCTTCCTTTTTTCTTTTCTTATTATTTTCCAGTTCTTTTTTGAAATTATTCATTTTTCAAAGAAGAATTGGACATGAAGAAGAAGGAAAAAAAATCTGGAGAAAAAAAGAAAAGAAAGAACCGGATGAACTGCGGGGATGTGAAAAAGAATTGGGGAAGAAAAAAAAAATTAGAAAAAAAACTTGTGTGTGAAAAAGAATTTGGGAAGGAAGATAGAAGAAAAGAAGAAAGAAAAATAAATTAATATATATAAATAGAAGTATAACGGTCAAATCTGATAAAATTTAACGTTTGTTAGTTAAATTTAGAGATGGAGAGAGTGACATTTTGGAAACACAAGGACGTTTTTTTAAATTTTAAAACCACGGGAGGTTTTCAGCGAATTTAAAAAATCACAGG